GTGTTATGTTCTTGAGAAGAGGAGTTGGTGTCCTGTTGATTAGGAAAATCGCAGTCAAGATAGAATCACCCCAATAATCCAAGGAAAGATGAGATTGAAACATCAGAGCTCTGGCGACATTAAGAATATGTTGGTGTTTCCTCTCAACGACACTGTTTTTCTCTGGTGTTTCAGGACACGAGTGATTTGCAACGATCCCTTTCTTCTTGTAGAAATCTGCAAATCTTAACTCAGGAGCATTATCTGAGCGTACACTCTTAACCTTTGTTTGATACTGAACTTCAACCATATTGATGAACTCAGGAAACATGGTGAGAACTTCATCTTTACTGCGAAGTAAGTAAACCCATGTTACTCTGGAATGACCATCGACCAAGGTGAGAAAATATCGATAGCCTTCTGTGGTACAAACTGAGAAAGGATCCCAGATGTCCATGTGAATAAGATCAAAGGCACGTTGACAAAGATGATTAGGAGAAATATAAGATAAACGCTTCTGCTTTGCAAGGGGAAAGATATCACAATGAAAGGACATTTTATTCGTGTGTTTAAATCCAAGTACATCATGAAGAAGATCAGTTTTCTCCAAAGAGGGATGTCCTAATCTATTGTGCCATAACTGGGAATCAACAACAACATTAGTACAGAAAGAATTATTCGCCAAATCTTCAGATTCTACTAACTGTGTTGTATCCAGCACGTAAAGATTCGATATCTTCTCACCATGACCAATCATCAACCCCTTGATATGATCATGTATCATGCAAGAAGCATCATCAAATAAAACTCGATAACCAAGGCTTTAGTGACCTGGCTAACACTCATTAGATTCAATCTGAAGTCAGGTATGTATAGGACATTATCCAGAACAAAAGAGTTACTCAGCCTTACTCTGCCAATCCCTTCAATTCTCACTCCCAAACCAGGAGGTAATGTGACAGAAGCATGTAAAGAAACATAGAAAGTTTCAAACTTGCTTTGATCACAAACTACATGATGAGTAGCTCCACTGTCTACTATCCAAGAATCAGAGACTAACATATTTTCTGTAGTTTTTAGAATACAAATGAAGCGTAAAGTAAAAGTGGAACAAGCCATACCAGGTAAGGCCATAATGGTAGCTCCCGAAGAATATGCTACATTTGAAGATCCAGGGAAAGAAGACTGAAGTTGTGAGTTGAAATAAGCAATAACACCTTGAATCTAATCATGTGTCAAACTGTTGATCACATGAGGGATGCTCTGACCTGCAATCTCGGTATTGGTTAAACTCAATTGAGCTGCAACTGGCTTAGAAGAGACCTGCTGTTTGCCAAAAGATTTCTCAGATTTGGGCTTATTCTTGTGCTTAAAGTTAACAAGATATCCATGAATCTTGTAGCAGGTATCTGTTGTATGACCAGTATAGCCACAGTGAGTGCAAACAGGCTTGTTTGATTTCTGATGATAGGTAGAATGAGCCGTAGCATTAACCAATGGTGACTGGTCTACATTAGGTACAGAGACTTGAAATGCAGAAGCTGTTTGAACTGAGGTGAACGATCTCTGGCTGTAGTCTTGATCAAGAAGATGATAAATCTCAGAAAGTTGAAGCATGTTCTTCTTCATAATGATCTGACTACAGATTACAGAATAAGACTCATTCAACCCAGCCAAAAACTTAATAATCTTGGCGTGATCAGCTTTCTTATCCATAGCTTTGCAACAGTCACATAAACGACAAGTTTGAACACATGCGGCTCCATCCAATTCATCCCAAAGCGTCTTCAGGTTGGTATAATATGTTGCAAGATCCATAGCTCTTTGTTCCAAAGACCAAATCTTTTGAGAAAGTTGATATGATCTTGGAATATTTGTAATATGAAAACGAGTTTCCAAATCTCAGATGCATCATTGAACCTCAGAATACTCTTGTAGATCTGCTTCGAAACAGAGTTTAGAATCCAGGATTTCACCATCAAGTTACATCTAGACCCAAATCCTAAAATTCTGATGAGATTCAAGAGGTCTAGACAAAGATCCATCAATAAATCCAGATTTTTTCTTCGCATCTAACGCAATGTTCATATCAATCTTCCAGTTGTCATAGTTAGAACCATCAAGTACCTCAGAGATGATTGCGAATCCTGGATTATCGCCATTGGTGAGATGAAATGGAGAATGGATGTTGTTGAAAGATTCCAACGGGGGAGACGGTAGATCTAGTGACTGCGATTCAAGAACGGTATATCTTTGCGCCGATGATGATCCACGACCAAGACGATGACCCACCCTCCTTGCGATCACCATTATCGATTTTAGGTAAAAATTTTGAATCGAAGCGAAACAACCTCGAAACTTTTACGAAGAACAATCAATCGTGAAAATCAAGGATCGATTTAGGTTAAAAGAAAGATGGAAATGAACGGATCGGGCGAGATTTCAATTCTCGCCGCTCTGATACCATATTAGTTGAGCTTGAAATGATCGAAGAAGAAGAAGCTCAAAATGAAAAATGATTCTTGTTATTCATCTTTCTGTTACACGTTACTTTATATAGTAACCAGACTTCCGGTTTACAATGAACCAAACTCTAATAAACTCAATTAAAGGTTTACAATAACCCAATGATTCTATCATGTACGTTAATACAGTTTCCTCCTTTCCTTTCTGATTTTGGTTTCTCTGATTCTACATGAATTGTGACGCTTTCTGTTTTGAGTTCTCCTTTGTTTGAACTGTCTTGAATAGCTAAAAATTATCTCAAGCATTGACTATTTTCTTTAAACCATCAAGCGAGATGGAGTGTAAGAAGAATTGGAGAACATATGAACACATCTACGATGCTTTAGGTAGACTTTAAAACTCTACTCTTCTTTATTCTCCTTAATTTGTGACAGTCGACCTGAATTTTTTTTTTTCAGATAAATCGGCGAAGGTGGGGTTCGTCAAAGCGATTTTGTAAATGTATAAGACAAAAGAAAGGGGATTAGAGTTCCAACATGAGGGTCAACAGACCCAACACAAATCAGTTTTCTCATGTTTTCTTACTGATATTCGTTTCTCTGATTTTAAATGAGTGTTTACTTCACTTTGAATTGTCCTCTCTTTCGGGTATCTTCAATCATTTATACGTACATTGATCATGAATTTTTTTTTTCTTAGACCATCTCCAACCCAAATCTATTTTCTTCTCTATAATTACCACAAAATAGAGTTACTCTATTATAGAGTAGAAAATAGAGGGATATCACTTTTTCACTCTATTTTTGGAGTGAAAAAGTGATATCCCTCTATTTTTTACTCTATAATAGAGTAATTCTATTTTAGAGTAAACCATTGAAGTAAAAGTCACTTTAAAATAGAGTTACTCTATTTTTGTGAGAATTATAGATGAAAACATAGGTTTGGGTTGGAGATGCAAGATTGGACATATCAACACCGTTTCGAAATATTCTGAATACACAAAGGAGTGAAGACCAAACTATTAATATATTCAGGTTAAACACAAGAAGATGAAAAAAAAATAAAACACTTCCTACTTATTTTGTCTATGAAAGAAAGTATGTTAAGAACTTCTTCTTTATGCAGGGAGACAGATTTTTAAAGAAGAGTATTGGTGAACAAACCATTTGCCTCTCAACACTCCCTGGTCAACAAAGCGTCTCCAACTTTATATAAGGTTAGCATCGAATTTTTTTTTGTGTTACTGTTTGGAACTTATCATAATAAGTTTAGCTGGTTTATAAAACATAAGCATAAAACACAACATTGTATATTTATATTGTATGCGATTAATATAAAAGGAAACAACATGATAATTATAAAATGTGTAAGCAACAAAGATAAGTAAGCTACCAAAAAAAAACCTCATATTCGAACCAAACACATGATTCTTGTTTTCAGTATGATTTGTTTTGAATCCTGCATAGAAAATTATTAAATGCATCAGCAAACATTGTAAAAAAATTGTATTATTTCAGTTTAAAGTCTAGCTTTCTGGAACATCACCAGACTCAAACAAAATTCCGGAAAACCTTTGAATGTTAATCACGTGCTTGAATCCACCTTATCATGAAACAAATAAAAAAAAAATTACCACAAAATAGTGAATTCATCTCATATTATCTGCAAGACATTAAACTGAAAATTACCTACTTCCCAAATCAATTTTAAAAATCATGTAAATCTTGAGAAATTGCTTCATAAGCTACACAAATAATTTGTTCGAACCTGTAATTTTGTGGTTCTTGAAACCACAGCTGGAGTCAGTAAAATCTCATTCAAATTCTTAATATCTCCTACTCCAACCAAAGCTCCACAGATATCTGCTCGATATGTGGAAATTACTAACAAAAGGATTAGACTTCATTAGCTTATATGACAAATAAAATTAGAAAGAATATAAAACATAACAAATAAATAACGTATTAACAGTCATGATAATAAGAGGTGTAGACATATAAATCAAATATATACATATAGATTAAGCTGTACAAATTTACTTTGGAACTGACCAACACCTTCACAATAGTCTCTCCAACAGCACCAAAGTATTGTTTCCACAATCAAATAAATTTAACCCTGATTTTCCACATAGATTTGTAAGGCTTCAAATCACCAACAAAATCAAAATCAGCCATTTTCGCAAAAGAAAGCCTAAATTTTAGTGCAAGAATTTAGTTTATGATTAGAATGCGAGATTAGAACTGCATACCTTGGTGTTTATATAAGGAATGTGCATATCTGAAGATTAATGTGATAATCAAAATTACAAATGTAATCCTAAAATAACTTGCGTAATGCACGGATTTACCATAATGAATTACCTTTATTAAAATGTCTTTGGTCAATTAAAATATTATCCTTCAACAATCACTGCCATATATTCACTATACAGTAAATGTAATGTAGCTCCAGACCTTTACAAAAACATAATCTTCGATAAAAGTGTTGATGTTCATTCGTTTGGTGTCATTTTATATGAGGTAGTAGCACACTCTTAGACCATCTTTAACGCAATGGGGGCTAGGATTTTGGGTGACAAGGTAGGCGATTGTCAGATCCAAAATCTCTGACGGCGCTAGAAGACAAATACAATCGTAACCTTACCTCTTACGCAAGGAAGACTACTCTACACTTCTTGCTAGGTTTTGTAAGGGTACATGCTATATATTACAACCAAGTCTCTAGTCTTATACTACGGTTTTTTTGCTTTTCTTATCAATAGCAGCAGATCTATTCTTCTCAAGCAAGCCAAAAGAATTTCTTCGATATCTCTAGCCTTGTGCTAAGTTTGTGTGGCTGTCCCAATTTCATCAAGATGGGTTTGCAGTCAAACCTAATCCGCCGAGGAGGAAACTCTTCCTTTACAAGGCGCCGTCTGGATCTAGAAGTGGAGGACAAGATCATTTGAATTCCAGCATGTGACCTAACTGCTGCGACTTAACGCTTCCAAAGAACCCTAATCGGAAGAGTCCTACATAGAGGAGGACGTAGCATAGAAGCAATGCTTGCCCTCCTCCCAAGAACACGCATCTGGAACGTTGAGGGCAGGGTGCGTGGTGTAAATCTGGTCAACGGTCGCTTCCAGTTCGATTTCGATAAGGAAGAGGACCTTAACATGGTGTTAAACAAGAGGCCTTGTAACTTTAATCACTGGGTTTTTGCTCTGGAACGATGGGAGCCATCAACAAGTGAAAATTTCCCCCAACACAGTTCCTTTTTGGATTAAGATTACTAGAGTGCCAATCCATCTTTGGAATGATGACACTTTTAATGAAATTGCCAAAGCCCTGGGGAAGAGAGGGACCACTGATGCTATAAATGCTACAATCCAGGTCTCCATTGACGCTGACAGACCCCTCAAGATGGAGGCAAAAGTTGAATTTCCGAATGGAGATGTAGGTAAAGTCTTTATGACATACGAAGGCCTTAACCGATATTTCTTTGTGTGCAAACGTATCTCTCATGATCTCTACTCATGCCCGGAATTATCTTAAGAGGAAAGAGAGCAGAAAGAATTACAGGAGCTCAATCTGCCAGGGTCACAAGAATCCTCTCACCAAGCTCTGCATGGAACAGCGGAGAATTTTAGAAGTAAGGTCCCAAATAACAAAAGGCCTCGATCCCCCAATGGTGAATTTTACCAAAGATCACCATCCCGATCTACATTTCCTGGTCAATCCAGTGGAGGAAAGTGACATAAGGAATCAGAAAGCTTATGGACATCTAAACCTACCTTGCACAGAGGTGCCACCTTGAAGACTTTGGAGAGACGCAGGGAGGAAGAAGACGAGCGTTATCCACGATATCAGCAAAAAGAAACTGTGTGGAACCATCTCGAGGGTCAGGAACAAGGAAAGCAAACTAGCTATAGAGGTCGGCAGAACCAGGTCTCGATGGATCGACATAGAGGACGTGAGTCCTACAGAACAAAGGAGCGACATAATTCTCACTTCTCTCAAGCTTCCCAACAAGTTTGGAGACCTCGAGTCCAGACAAATGCTTACAAAATTAACAGCACCTCTAGAACTGTTACTTACTCAAAGAATCAAAGGGAAAACACACCGGAAAAGGCAGATTCGCAGAAAACAATATCAGGTGGTTTACAGGGGCACAGTGGTCGGGAAGATAAAGGAAACGGAGTTCTCGTGGTACACAAGAACGAGTCCTCTGAAGAAAGACTGAGACGCCTAAAAGGAAAAGAAATAATGCAGGAAGAACACACTGAAAAACTCTCTCCCTCAGCGCTGCATAAATCCCCACAAGCTTTATTAACCAGAGATCGAGGTACTGTTGTTATCAGAGAAGGAGGGATTCGATCTCCTCCACCAGCTCCCAGGTTTGTATCATCTCTGCTTAGACATAAGAAAGGAACTGAGGAAGCTGGTTTAAAGTTAGAGAACTTGATGAACTCAAAACACATAGATAATATGTCTCTTACTAGGGAAGAAGAAGCAGAAGTAGATAAGTTAGTGGATGAATTTGGTAATGTTGCCATAGATGATACTATAATGCAAAATAATGATTTATTGGCAGATGAGTGCAGAGATCATCGATGCTATATCCCAACTATCTCCAGCAAATGTTGTGAAATTGGGAAATGGCATAACAACAGGGGCTGCAACAAATACATCTCAGCCAATCATTAAGTATCAATCAAAGTTCAAAAACCCGGTTTCGGCTAGGATTCCACAAGCAAGCTCTGGTCAAGGCAAGGAGGTTGGTACATAAGCAAAAAGGAAAAGCTCCCAAAGCTCGGAATTCGAAAGATCACAAGCGTCAAAGAAGCTGAATGCATTACGAGGACATCCCTCCCCGAGAAAGAAAGGCTCGGGTATTTCAAAAAACCTACCTCTCTTGCTGTCCCTCATAATAAAGAGTGTATTTCTGCTAAAAATATGATTCCGTCTCTTGTTTCAGGTTCGGTGGTGTCCCAGAAACCACCCAGTAAGAGGATATGAATACAATTTCATGGAACTGTCAAGGGGCAGGAGCCTGCTTGACTAAGCATCGCTTTTTCGCACCTTCTTTTCTTTTTCTTTCTGAAAGAAAAAACAATCGTTATTTTTTGCAAGACTTTCAAGTTTCTTTTGATTATAATAAATTGTTCACCGTGGAACCGGAAGGTCGAAGCGGGGGACTAGCACTTTTTTATATGGATTCTATGATGTGTCGATTCTCTATTACGATAAATGTATGATTGATATTGCAGCTACCATAAAGGGACACAGAGTTTTTATCACCTTTGTTTATGGTGATCCGTCGTTGAGTACCGAGACTATGTGTGGGAAAGACTGACCCGCATGAGTTCTACTAGAAACGGCGCATGGATGATGTGTGGAGATTTTAATGAAATTACCGGCAACCACGAAAAGAAAAGGGGAAGGAAATGACCTGATACATCTTTCCTTGATTTCAAAGCCATGATCGCTGACTGTGGAATGATAGAACTCCCATACAAGGGTAACCCGATGTCTTGGATGGGTTACAGAAGCTTCGGCAAGGTCCAATGTCGACTAGACCGCGCGATAGGTAATGAAGAATGGCATCACCTTTTTCCCCACACAAATGTGGAGTATCTTAAACTATGGGGTTCTGACCACTGGCCTATCTTAACCCGTATTCAATCACGTGTAGTAAGGCTCCATCGCAGTTTCAAGTTTGATAGACGATGGCTTGATAAGGATGGCTTAAAAGAAGCAATAGAAGAGGGATGGGGATTAGAGGAAGCGGGTGGAAATCGTACACTCCATATTAAGTTACGTGATGTGCGGCGAGCAATATCAAGGTGGAAAAAAACCAACTCTTCCAATACGCAGAAGAAGATCGAGATCATCAAGGAACAGCTTGAAAAAGCTCATACTGATGATAATGTTACGAGTGAAGAACTGCTAAACCTAAAATGGAACCTGTGTACAGCGTTTCGAGAAGAGAAACTTTATTGGAAGCAAAAGAGTCAGATACTGTGGTTAAAAGATAGAGACATGAATACTAAGTTTTTCCATGCAATCACCAAAAAAAATACGTGCCAGGAACCGCATCACTAAACTAAAGAAGCCAGGGGGGGGGGGATAGGCTGAAAGTGAAGAGAGTATAGAGAAGGTTGCGGCCGCATATTTCCAAAACCTCTTTACTTCTTCGGAAGTAGGAGACGTTGAGGAAGCGCTCTGGTACATTACCGTGAAAGTAACACCAAAAATGAACGAGACTTTAACACGGATTCCAGTGATGGAAAGATTAAAAAATCCATTGATAACATTAACCCTGATAAGGCACCAGGTCTGGACAGTATGACTAGCCTTTTCTACCATCGGTTTTGGGAGATTACGGCAAAAGAAATAATAGCGACGGTTAAGAAGTTTCTTGAGTCAAGTGACTTTGATCCAAAACTAAACCAGACGAATATATGCCTGATACCTAAGACAGAGAGGCCGCAGGATATGGCTGAATTCCGTCCCATAAGTCTCTGCAATGTTAGTTACAAGATCATATTAAAGATCCTATGTTCTCGACTGAAAAGACTCCTCCTGAAGCTGATTTCGGAGACTCGATCTGCCTTCGTGGCAAAACGACTTATATCAGACAACATTCTCCTGACACAAGAATCTTTCCACACCCTGCGTACAAATCCGAATGTGTAAGGCGAAGTTTGTGGCAATAAAAACTGATATGAGCAAAGCCTACGACCGGGTAGAACAGAAATTCCTCGAAGCACTACTTTTAAAAATATGTTTTGCAGAAATTTGGGTGTCTTGGATTCGGTGGTGCGTCTCATCGGTGTCATATCAAATCCTCCTAAATGGCAAACCAAAGGGCAATATACAACCATCGCGTGGACTGCGCCAAGGAGATCCCCTGTCCCCTTTTCTTTTTATTCTACACACAGAAGCTGTCATCTCACAACTAAAAGGAGCCGCGGAAGAAGGAAGGATAACAGGTCTAAAAATCACTAGGGCTAGTCCCGCAGTCTCACATCTTCTCTTTGCAGACGATAGCCTCTTCTTCTGTAAAGCCTATGTCCAGCAATGTGCTGAGTTGATGAGGATTATCAAATTATATGGGAAGGCTTCAGGTTAGCAGTTAAATCCCGGGAAATCCTCCATCCTGTTTGGTAATAGATTTGGTCATGATATAAAAGTAACACTCAAGCAAACCCTGGGTATCCAAAAGGAAGGTGGGATGGGGATGTACTTAGGGCTCCCGAAGAAAATTTGTGGTTCCAAAAGACAAGTCTTTGCTTTCATTAGGGATCGTCTAAATGACCGTATCAACTCCTGGTCAGCAAGACTCCTATCCAAGGGTGGTAAAGATGTACTTCTAAAATCAGTAGCCCAGGCGCTTCCTACTTATGTCATTTTTTCTCCTACCTAAAGAAATTATCTACAAGCTGCAAAGTGCAATAACAAATTTTTGGTGGAGTACGAAATCTAATAACCAAAGACTACATTGGATAGCCCAGGAGAAAATATGTTTACCTTTCGAGAAAGGAGTGTTAGGATTTGGAGACCTATTTGATTTCAATCTGGCCTTACTAGCTAAGAAACTATGGCAGCTCTTGCATCACCCCAGTTCCTTACTTGCTCAGGTCCTCAAAGGGAGATATTACCATCATACTAGTCCCATGGAGGTTAAATCATCAAATTATCCATCCTATGGATGGAGAAGTTTCTTGCAGCTCAAGACCTCCTCCGTGAAGGCTTGCGGAAGACAATAGGAACAGGGTGCAGTACACGGGTATGGCTAGACCCGTGGATCCCGGTGTTTCCGGTGCGACCAGCCTTAGACGCTGGCATTTACCGCGATCAAGACCTTCTTGTTAGCCATTTCATTGATGAAACATCAAAACAATGGAGAACGGATACCCTTGAGGTTTTGGTTGACCCAGGAGATATCCCGCTGATACGTAGTATCCATCCTAGTCATCTTAATTGTTGGTATCAAAATCGGTCACGACGGAATCAATGGCTAAAAGTTACCGTAAAAATAAAAATATGTTTTATAAAACTCGAGAAGTCTTTTTATAAAATTCTAAGAAGTTTCCAAACAAAGGAAATCCGCAGAAAACTTGGAAATCGTTATCTCAGAAGAAAGAAACAAACGCCGATTATACGATCGCCCGAGTTAAGCACAAAACCGCGAAAAACCGCATCCGCCGTAAATCGCGAGCTGGTTCGGCCGAACTAGCTCGCCGTACGACGAGCTAAGTGGCCTCGAGCTAGCTCGCCGTACGGCGAGCTATCTCGACCAGACTAGCTCACCGTACAGTGAGCTAGTCACATCACGGATAGCTCGCCATACGGCGAGCTAGTCGCTCCCCGTGTAGCTCGCCGTACGGCGAGCTGAACCGATCCGGTTCGGCTCGTCGAGCTGATTATCACAAACCTCAATCTCCCACGTCCTTGATTCAAGGCAAACGTCCTTCGGCTCGATCATGTTCTGAACCACTGTCGAAATGTCTCTCGTTTCGTCTCGATCCGTCCTATCGTTCGGTTTTTGCGATAAAAACCGTAAAGTCCAGTTTTCTCGAAAGAACTCGAGGAAATCGTATAAAACGGCAACGGTTAAACGAAACACCGAACATTGCCTAAACTATACGATTTATTCGAGATTTTTCGTGAGTAATCGTAAAAAACGCGTTTCTAATAAAACCTCAAGTAAATCGTAGAAAACGGCAACGATTAACCGAAACATCGAATATTGCCAAACTTTGCGATTAACTCGAGAACCTTATTTAAAAACGGCATCGCATCAGGAAACGATCTCGTAAAAAGTCGTAAAACGATTTTATCGCAAAACGGCCCGAAAAGTCCTAAAACGCGATAAAAGCCTATCTCGCGACTTTAATGAAATCTAACCCAAAAATACGACGACATTTTGACGATTTAATCGCAGAAAGAAGATAAATTTGAAATTTGAAGTTAAATGTCATGTTTGAGGATATATAGAAGATTTCCGCGGGAAAAAAAGAAAGATAAAGATAAATGGAAGATTCTCGATAAACTCGAATCTGGGCAAAATGGAAGGACCAAACAGCCAAGGAAGGGAGTATATAAGCAAGAGGCATAAGACAGAAGCACGTGACGAATTTCAGAGCTCTCATCTGAGACTTTTACAACTTTTCTAGACTTAGAATTTTCCGCACTTAGAAACCTAGGCTTTATTCTCGACAAGTTCGGTTTCTATGA